TTTTTTTTTTTTTTTTTAACCCGTCCGGGGAAAGATGGGAACATCCAGGAGAGTTGGAAGAAGTGCATTAAGGAAGGTGTCAATACCTCCCTCCCTACTCCTTACTGGACAAAGTCGCTTTAACAATAATGCTCTTTCACCCCTCACATCCCGCCCGGTTTCCATACATCCTTCAATCAGCACACACGCACGCGCGCGCGCGCGCGCGCACACACACACACACACACACACACACACACACACACCCGCCACCATTCCCTCCTCTCCCCCTCACATTCAGAACAGGCTGCTCCGACTTTGTCAGTCTCGCCGCCCCCGCGAACCCGCCCAGACCAGCAGAGTCCAACAACGCAGCCACGCAGCCACCTACTCCCCCCACCTCCTCCATCCGAGCCCAGCTTCCCCTCCCCGCCCCCCACCCCGTCCTGTCACCTGCTTGGGTGGTGTCCGTCAGGTCGTAGCCGCTGCCGGGGAAGTCTCGGAGTTTCCTACCGCTGAGGCTCAGGATGCCGGAGTTGCCCGCCTCCTCCAGGGCCCGGTCCAGGCTCCTCACCGTGTGCTGAGGCTGCAGGCTCCCCGGGTTCCACTGCGGCCCGTTGGGGAACGGCTGACCGAAAAGAGTCGGTACCGGGATGGGCACCACCAGGGTCCCGCCGCCGCCGCCGCCGCCTCCCCCTCCGGCTCCGCCACCTCCCCCTCCGGCTGCGCCACCGCCACCGCTACTTCCACCTCCACCACAACCGCCGCCCCCACTGTTAACACCACCTCCCTGACTCGCCGCCATGTTCCTGGGAGAGAGAATAGCCCCCGACAATACTCTCAGCTTGTGCCGCGAGTGTAGGGGATTCTTAGGACGCATGCGCAGGCTGGGGGGGGTGGCGGCTTGGAGGGGGGGGCGAGGTTGAGGGTGGGAAGGAACCAGGGGGCGGGCTGGGAGGAGGTGTTGGGTAGAGAAGAGACGGTGTTCAAACGTGCAGAACGCTTGCTTTAAGAAATGTGTGCTCAGAGGAAGGATGCTAAGTCTCGGTTCCGCTGCTTTGGGTACCAAAATCTTGCGAAGCGACACCAGGTTAAACACAGGTCAGTTAGCAGTGGGTCTCCAAATCTGGAAATTGCTTCACCTTTCTCCCTCTGCAAAACAAAGGCAAATATATCAGATAGGGGTGAAAGGGATTCGTTTCAGAATACATTGAAACAGCATTCAGAAGGGCTATCAGCCACCTTACTGAAACGCTTACCGCACATGCCTCAGGAATTGTTTACCAGTGTTGACACGGAGAGAAACGGCGGAGGGGCATTTGGGGAGGAAGACTGGTGCAGAATTGAGTTTTGCCAAAAAATTTAGACTTCCAAAATAGGAAACGACTTTTTAAATGTTTTCAAGTATGTGTGGGTCCCAGCCAAACTGCTGCCTTCCAAAACTTGGAAAAGTTCTCTGCGTGCTGTTCTATCACTCTTTGAAGTTGTGCCAAGATCTCCAAAATATCTCAGGTTTCTTCTCATCATGTCAGTATGGCTGATGGAAAACTCTTTGATCGTTAAACAACCTTAAAGTTCATTTTTGGAATGAAGGTTTTGGTTTTAGGTGGAATTCTGTAGGTTTAACACTGAAGATAACAAGCTAATCAATCTTGGATTTTAGGAGGTCATTCTTAGAACCTGAACCCAATCATTCAGGCCACTGTTACCTCTCTACCTGCACTCAGAGTATTCAAGTCTTTTTCATGAAGAGTCAGTAAAGTTACCAAAAAAAAAAAAAAAAAAAAAAAAAAAAAACTATCAGAATGTTTGGACATACTCGGTTATCATTAATTTGAATATCCACTGCATCTCTTTTACATGCATTTCAATTTGAGCAATCTGCTAACAATCTCATTTTCTTAGAGCTATCTCCACAAAAGTTTATCTGCCATTGGCTCTACTTTGGGGAAAAATGCAGGAGAAATTAACAACTTGTCTAAATTGCTTTGTGGCCATACAGGCTAATTAAAATTATGTTGTCAGAAATTACATTTGCCATATGCATGACCCACAGAAGGAAGAGAACTGAGAATCAGACCCTACGATGAATTAGCAAGTGAAATCAAATTATTTAAACCCACTGGTGTCCGAAAGGGATGCTGTACCTTATATCTCATCTTTATATCACAATTCAAATCAAGTATTAATTGAGAACTTCCAGAATCAAGAAGGGCAGGAGGAGAAACTAAAGTCATTAGTCAGAGAAAAGATTAGGAAAGGAACTCTTTTAATAATTAGCCAATAAGAATTTTGACATTATTTGAAACAATGTATTGGACTCCAGGAAAAATAGGTCTTCAGGATCAGGATACCCATCAAGTGAAAATGGCCATGTACAACCAAATTTAGAAGTAAAATAATCTTTTGGGGCGCCTGGGTGGTTCAGTCACTTAAGCATCTGACTTCGGCTCAAGTCATGATCTCACGGTTCATGGGCTTGAGATCTGCATCAGGCTCTATGCTGACAGCTCAGAGCCTGGAGCCTACTTTGGATTCTGTGTCTCCCTCGCTCTCTGCCCCTCCCCCACTCGTGCTCGCTCATTCTCTCTCTCTCTCTCTCTCAAAAATAAATAAAAACTAATTCTTAAAAAAGAACTATCTTTCAAAGAATTAAAAGAGAGTCTACAAAAAGCAGGAAGCCTGCAAAGTTGGCTAGATATACAAGACAATCGGACAAAATAACACATTCCAGAGTTCTTTCACACAAATATCAAGGCCATAAGGAGTGTTAAAAGGTAAACTGAGGCATACTTTAAAATGTTTAGAGTTGATCTGAGCACTCATCGACTTAAATTAGGCAGAGTACCAAACCAGAAGTAGCTCGGCCAACAGGAGCCAGGGGAAAGACAAGTAGAAAAAATGCAGAAGCAGAGAAGAGAAATTATCTGATTGGCTATGACTTAAAACTTCCTTGGCTGTTTGTGATTGGTTGTCCTTAGCATTTTGATTTCACAACCTTGAGGCATTTATAGGCTTAAATTCTGGTTTGCTTAAGTAAGTCGCCTTAACACTAGAGCCACCTCAGTCTGATGGCCTCCTTGTTTCATTAATTTAACAGGAGAGAGAAGGTTTAGAGGAAAGAATATGAAATTTAGAAATTCGTTCCAACCACTTAGCTGCCTCTGGAATACTCAGAAAAGTGACTTAAAATCTCTGTACTTCAGTTTCCGCAAAATGACACTAAAAAATGACAACAAGAAGAACAAGGAGAAGAAAATTTAAAGTAGTGCTTACTATTTACCAGGAACTGGTCTCATTCCTTTACATATACAAAGCCATTCAGCCCTCATAACGATCCTGTAAAATAAGCCCTATTATTCTTCCATTTTATGGATGAGATAAAACAGTCTGTGCTTTACAAAGGATTGTTCTAGGAATAAATAAGGTTACTTATGAGCTATTACGCTTTTCCAGCAACTCTTCTCTGCAAGTAATAGTATAGCATTAGGTACTCAATAACTGTTAATCTCTTTATTATATCCTTGCCCCTCTCAAAAAAGAAAACTAAATAACAAGGAATATACAAATACAGGTGCCAAGGGAGAAATCAGTTAATTTGTTGATAATTGTGGGCAAAGAGATACTTGACATGTTGCATGATTCTTTTTTTTTTTTTTTTTTTTTTTGTATCAGTCTACGCTAGAGAATATTTTACAATGATTACCACTTCAGTGTAATTTCTGATATGGACATGTTAGCCATTGGTTAAATTGCAGTCAATAGTCAGCATTATCCAAGCCAAACTTAGAAAACAAATGTTGATAGGGACACGTGGGCGGCTCAGTCAGTTAGTGTCTGACTCTTGATTTCTGCTCAGGTCGTGGTCCTCAGGGATTCCTGAGTTCGAGCCCCACATCCGGCTCCGCACCGCCTGCAGTCTGCTTGGGATTCTCTCTCTTTCTCTGTCTCTCTCTGTCTCTCTCTCTCTGCCCCTTCCCAGCTTGAGCTCTGTCTCTCTCAAAATAAATAAATAAACTTAAAAAAAAAAAAAAAGAAAACAAATGTTGATAAATCACCAGGACTAGATGACACATATCAAAGATTACAGAAGGTGGGGCGCCTGGGTGGCGCAGTCGGTTAAGCGTCCGACTTCAGCCAGGTCACGATCTCGCGGTCCGTGAGTTCGAGCCCCGCGTCGGGCTCTGGGCTGATGGCTCAGAGCCTGGAGCCTGTTTCCGATTCTGTGTCTCCCTCTCTCTCTGCCCCTCCCCCGTTCATGCTCTGTCTCTCTCTGTCCCAAAAATAAATAAACGTTGAAAAAAAAATTAAAAAAAAAAAAAAAAAAAAGATTACAGAAGGAAAACAAGGGATTTTGAACAAAATATGCAGCCTCTATCAAATAAAGCACTGGCAAATGACAAATGTGATTGTATTCAAGAGAAGTCTAAAGGGACCTTCTGAAATTCCAGGCCCGTTTAGAGTCACTGCTATTCCAAACAAATTGGTAGTTACTCAACATCTCCAAACAATATGGAGGAGGAAAGGCACAGTCCAAAACTCCAAATTCTTCTATTAGAGAACAAGATTATTGCGATAGACTACAGGATGTTCTTAACCAGTCTGTAAATGAATCTAAAGTGAGATATGTTTTATCTCAGGATCTAGAGCAAGTCAACGAACCTGGGGATTAAATGGACCAAACTATAGTATGAATTTTTTTTTAATCTTGATCAGAAGCCAAGAAAAAGCCCTGTGAGTCTCTGCAGTTTGTTCCCTGAAAACATCAGGTCAATTACATGCTAATTTCGGGGGAAGGGGGTGCAGGGGGCTAGCTGGCTCTATTGGGAGAGCATGTGACTCTTGATCTTGGGGTTGTGAATTCAAGCCTGCCTGGGGCATAAGGCTTACTTAAAATAAATAAATAAACAAATTCAGGGAAAATAAGAAATGGTGGGTATCATCAAAATATATATCAGAAGCCCTAAAAAAAAAACTATTTTTGGGGTGCCTGGGTGGCTCAGTCGGTTAGGCGTCCGGCTTTAGTTCAGGTCATGTTCTCACTGTTCGTGGTTCAAGACCCACGTTGGGCTCTGTGCTGAGAGCTCAGAGCCTGGAGCCTGCTTCGGATTCTGCGTCTCCCTTTTGCTGGCCCTCCCCCGCTCACACTCTGTCTCTCTCTCTCTCAAAAATAAATAAACGTTTAAAAAAGTTTTTTTAAAAAACAACCTATTTTTTAAATCAACAAAGATATATTTTTTAAGATTTTTACTTTTAAGTAATCTCTACACGCAACACGGGGTTCAAACTTATAGCCCCAAGATCAAGGGTCACGTGCTCTACTGACTGAGCCAGCCAGGCACCCCTGGAAAAGCCATTAATATACTCTGTACTGAACTACTTCACAGCTGCAGCTAGAACGAGATGTGCAGTTCTGCTCACTCCAATCTCAGCACAACTCTTGAATTAGAGAAAGCCCTGAGAAGTGCACTTAAAATGATTGGCGACATGGGGAAAGGGGAAACTCACTTGGTCCTCCTCTCTATAGTAACTTGATCTTTAGTCCCTTCCAAAATCCCTGTTCTGGTATGGGACTTTCAGAAGACTATACGTTAACTTATTTCAGCATAATTTATAGCACACTATTTACAACATCCTTGATCCTCCTTTGCCTCTCTGTCCCTGCTTCTACCCTTGCAGCTAACCCTTTGCACTGCTTTAACCGATCTTGACAAACTCTCTAATCCCAAAGTTAATATTTATTAACTCAAAAGAGATTTTGACAAATGTATCAGTGATCATTATTACTTAAAAGAAGCTATTGCA